AAGCAAAGTACCAAATCAGGACACAGCCAATATGGAGTGCTGAATGTACAGTACAATATTCCTGATTCATCAATGGTTATTAGTCATTACTTCCAGGAAGTCGTTTAATTCATGTAAAGCACACACACACACACACACACACACACACACACACACACACACACACACACACACACACACACACACACACACACACACACACACACACACACACACACACACACACACACACACACACACACACACACACACACACACACACACACACACACCTGCTTAACATTTATGAAATGTGTGACTATAAATCACATGCAATTTTCCATTTGAATTATTGCAACTGCAGGATATCATGCAGACGAATCCACAAATCCCACACTGCAACAATCCCAACTTTAACACGAGGAACAAGAAGAGGCAGAAACTATATTACAATGACGAATGTTGGTCTGAATATAAAACAGCCGAGTGTTAACAAATGTATGCAGATAACTAAAGGATTACTGTTGACTTGCGGTTTATGAAAATTATACCAGTGTTGGTGATTTGAGATCCGCTGTGACCTCCCTATCGTTGGTACTCATATTGTATAATAAAACAGCCATCATGTCTCTGTTATAGTCCTTCAGTGTGTTTCTGCTGACGAGGTCCTACAGGAAGATTGCCTATTGCAGGAAGATATCATTTATGCTTTGACTTTATTATACTGTAACAGTAAATAACACATGATATATGAAAGGTGGGAACACAGCCGGGTTTATTTCTGACCATATCTTTGGGTTGTGAAGTATATTTCAGATATCAACGTATGCCAGCTAGCCACGCTAGCAATGCTGGTCGCTCCAACGGTCCATCGCTTTGGTTCAAATGTGAATATCTCGACAATTGTTGGATGAATTGGCATGAACTTTGGTCGAGACATTCATGTTCCTCTAAATAGGAATCTTACTGACTCTTAGGATCCTATGACTGTGGCTTACATATGTGTTTTTAAGGGAAAAGTCTCATTTAAATATGGTGGATATCAGCGTCTGTACTCTTTAAATGGATTTAGCTTTTAGTGCTTTTCTGTCTTTTGTTATTTTATTTGATAAAGTGGTATTTGAATAAGAAAAATCAGCCTCCTTTTTGTATTTATTACTTCCAATGTATCTTACTACATCACTTCTTACATCAGTGTATTGCCTACTTATGAATGCTCACTAGAGAAGGGTTGAAGGATTGAGAGAATATTTAAGTCCAATCTGTCCTCTTTTGTATATTTTGTTCATGACACACAGCAGAAACATCAGAAATATGAAGCCTGGTTCATTAGTTGTGCGTTTTGGTTTGATTTGTGACAGGATGCTGGGCTCCATCAGGCGGCTGCACACGGGCGTCGCTGAGCGAGACTTCTGACAGGTGGTGTCACTCCTACGCGCCGCGAGCCGCTCAACCAGGCGGTGCAGATGGTGCGCAGCGAGCCGTGTGCCAACAGTGGTTGCTTTGGAGACACGGATAAAAAAAAACATATTCCTTCGTCACTTGTAGCACTTCACTTCATCTACGCTGAAAATGAAACGATGATTTTTATTAAAGGTTTTATGTCAACAAATTTCACATAACTGTTTTAGGAAAGTTGAAAGCAATTTATTAAAGGTCACCTATTATGCAAAATCTGCTTCTTCATGTCTCTTCTACATCAACATGTGTCCCCTCTTCTTCATGTCTCTTCTACATCAACATGTGTCCCCTCTTCTTCATGTCTCTTCTACATCAACATGTGTCCCCTCTTCTTCATGTCTCTTCTACATCAACATGTGTCCCCTCTTCTTCATGTCTCTTCTACATCAACATGTGTCCCCTCTTGTTCATGTCTCTTCTACATCAACATGTGTCCCCTCTTCTTCATGTCTCTTCTACATCAACATGTGTCCCCTCTTCTTCATGTCTCTTCTACATCAACATGTGTCCCCTCTTCTCCATGTCTCTTCTACATCAACATGTGTCCCCTCTTCTTCATGTCTCTTCTACATCAACATGTGTCCCCTCTTCTTCATGTCTCTTCTACATCAACATGTGTCCCCTCTTCTCCATGTCTCTTCTACATCAACATGTGTCCCCTCTTCTTCATGTCTTTTCTACATCAACATGTGTCCCCTCTGTGGAAAGAGACTCTGAAAGTTTCAGGAAAAAAGACCCCCTCTCTTTTTGTCCTGATCCATTTCTATAAAAACCTGTCTGAAAATGAGCTGATCAGATTTTGGCCTCTTTATGATGTCATAACGATGTGTTGGCTTGTGTAACCATTAGCCAATCAGCAACCAAGGTAACCCCCCCCACCTTATCACCTGAATCTCCTCCTAGAGCACCATTGTGTTCTTTGTAACCAAATGTCTCTCTGAGGGGCGTGGGGAGGGGCTCCTTATTTTCATCTAAAGTAACAGACAGAGAATCAGCACTTTTGAAACAGGGCTGAAACAGAGGGGATTATGGGATGCTGCAATGATCTGTTTGGTGTTTGGAGCCAAACACTTCAGAGACATGTTTTGTATATATCTGAGACCGATAATATATTGATGAAATCCAGTATAATACGGGACCTTTAAGTTCAACCTACATTTTTTTAAACCTAAGACAGTTATGTGAAATCTCTTGACATAGTACATTTAATTAAAGTCAACGTTTCAGTTTTTGTTATTATATTTACAACACAAATAGGAAAATATATTGTTGTGTGAAGTAGGACAAAAAAATCACTGATCATCACACTGCTGACAACAAAGGCTTGTAATTCATGTGAACTGAAGACAAAATGTGTAGTTACAGTATGTACATTACATTTCACAGAGAACCAAGAATGGATGGAAATGATCAAATCAATGTGACGGTCCAACATGCGGTGTCCAAGAAAAAAGAAATCGGCATGTGAATTGAATACCTTTTTCACAAAATCAATAAAAGATTGAGACAGAGAAGTCCTGAAAGCACAAAGAGTGAAATAGTGTAAACTGATAAGATAATACATGTTACTATAAAAGTATTGGGAATAAACGCTCATGTCACAGACAAATGTTCTACTGGTTGGATATATGACATTGAACACTGAAATGTAACAGTTAACGGGTGACTGTAAATGTCAAATAAGTGGTTTGATATTTTGGGGAATACTCTCGTTCACTTTCTCATTAGAAGTAAGACAATTAATGTGAAGCTACAACCATATATATATATATAAACACTAGATGGCTCAAGGGGGAGTCGCCAGCGTAGCTCACCGGCGGCCATCTTGCCACAGTCAACAACTACTGCTACAGCTGTTGTAAGGTGAGTGATCTGCACACAAATACTCTTAACTCGGTGAAATCTTGACTGATTTACAAACGGTTTGGTTTATTATAAACGTTATTAGCATGGCTATGATACAGGAGACAACAAGACATGTTGAAAAAAAAAGTTCATGATTATAGTTATAAGTATGCAGTACCATGAGTACATCTTTGATGTTTATAACAAACCAAACCGTTTTGAAAATTGGTTGAAAATTGAGCAATCTACGGTTATTTCAATAGTGCACCGTAGACATAATGTTATGAATGAGCGAGCTGCCTGTGGCAAGATGGCCGCCATGTGGCAACGTCGGTCTCCATTGGCCAGCAGCGCGGGTGAGTCATCTAGTGTTTATATATATATATATATATATATATATATATATATATATATATATATATATATATATATATATATCAGGGTTGCCAACTTTGGGTACCTGGCTGGAGTGAAATTTTGATATCATGGTTTAATTACACATATGCGCACGAAATGACTGCTATCGTGTCAGCAGCGGGACCTTAGCATATATATAGGATATATATACAATATATACAAATACACAATATTGGACACAGACTATAAAGGGCACAAAGTTTCATTCACTAATGAAAGTCAAACTCATGTTTGTTTCCATTGTTTTATTGTGTGCCTGTCGCGATAAGATAAATTGGCATTTACATGAGGATGTGACTAGCAGTTTGAAAGGATGTACTTGAATTATTATTATATATTATCATTATGTCAGTGGTCTAAAATGGTCATACAACGGTGCCGACAATATTATCGTTTATCGCAATAATTTCCGGGAAAATGTATCCAACAAAATTCATTATCGTGAGAGGCCTATACATGAAACACACACACACAAACAAATCTACAGACTTACTCCAAACTGCCAAATATATTAATTAACACACTCTCACTCTCATATACTCTTGACTCTATTTTGGCCTAGTAGAACAATAAGCAGCAGACTTTTACTTTTTATAATTTCTACTGGATCTTAGATCTGCGCATGCGCAATACGGGTCGGCAGTGGCGGCTCCGGAGTATTTCTGTTGGGTAATCTATGGTAGGGCTAACCCATACAGTGGTGGGGCTCATGTCAGTATTTGCAATGTAATTACACACTCCCCTTGACAGTGAAACGCCACGCGTGAGGTTTAGATTATTTCCCTGTCTCAATCCAAATTGAAATGTATGAAATAAAAAGGCACATTTGTCTTGTAGTAAATAAAAGGGCGACCTGGAGCCAATCCTGCAATTTACCCACAGGTGAAAGAGTTGACCTGCTGAAAACCCAACCCCTGCAGGGGGGTCTGGGGGGATTCTCCCCCGGGAGATTTTTTGAAATACTAACATAAAATACACATTCTGGTACTCTCTTGAGAAGAAAAATAAATACATCTATTACTATACGACATATTTAAAAAAAAAATGAATTCCATTTTAGTTTTTTATTACTTTGTTCTGAAAGCTGAACCTGCTGCTCCTCACAGAGAGAAGAGGGAAGAGGCTGTGTGAATTACTTTAGGGATAAGGGTGGATAGCCCCCATTGTTCTGTGTGTCAAAATGAAAGACAGCCCACACACCTATCAATCATTAAATGATGATTTCTATCAACACGTATAATGTTGTATCGATGTATATAGAGATTTACTACCGCAAAAGTATTCTCCGTCGGGACTTCCTGCAACAACACCACGCCGTTATCGTGATTCTGATTGACCAGAAGACATGATCAAAGATGTTCTATTAAGAAGACGATCACTACGTGACAAAAGTTTTCAAAACCGTTTCTAGTCTTCGGTATTCTTGTTTTGGCGTGAGAATAGTTTGGGCAGCGTGAGAGCGTGAGATTGAGAGTGAAAGCGTGTGTCACACGTCAGATGCGTGAGAGTTGGCAACCCTGATCTATGGCTACAACCAGCAGCAGATTTGCTTAGTTTAGCATAAACACTGTAAACAGAGGGAAACAGCTAGCCTGGCTCTGTGCCAATTCCCAAATCGTAGAAGTGCTAAAAAGGACATGTACTGGAAATCTCTTTGTTCGGCCAAGAAATAGCTATTGCACGTTTTACATTTGTGTTTATATATGAGTTTACCAAATGGGATTAAAAAGGTTGAAAGTTAGCTTTAAATGTTTTATTAGGCCATAAACTGGCTATATCTTTCCCCTTGTTTCCAACCTTTATGCTAAGCTAAGAAAAAAGCTAACTGACTTTGAAATTCATCGTAAGAACGCAGTGAAGAATATTTCCAAAAATGTCAAAAATAATCCCTTCGATATTGGCTGTGGATGACAGAACAACACCTCAACAAGGAGGAGACGTTTATAAAATGCTGGTATGGATTTCATCCGCTTTGAAATCAAAGTTACTGTTGGACAACTGAACTCAGTGTTTAACCCCGACTGGAGCAAAGACTCAGCAGTGCCGGTATCCACTACAAAAGAACCTGAAAACAGTCAATGACTCCAAAACGAATTAAAGTAAGACTTCAACATTTTAGGGAATACGCTAAAATGTTTTCCCTTGCCTTCACTTTTTATGCTAGGCTAAACTCAGCTAATTGACTGCTGGCATTAGACCTCCTTTTCTGTAATTTAACATGATGAGGTATTTTTGTAGGGGGGGATAATAGGTGGAGGCAGATCAAGAAAATTGCTACCATTCTCTCAAAATTTCCCAAAATGTTGAACGTTCAATCTAGTTTCGTTGCAAATCATTCCATAACTCAGAGTCTATGCTTACATGATAATATTTGTCCTTGTGCAGATTGACAGGCGACTGTAATAAGAGTAGCATAATGATTAGAGTCTTCGTCAGCTGTCTTATCCATTAGCAAAACATTGAATTACAGCGACCCATAACCTAAAGCAGTAAGTATAAGCAGTACATTCTCTCTCATAAATAATACCGCAAAGACATACAATGTCCCAGCTCTTCATAGAGCAGAGATACAGTTCAGTAAAGTCTTTGTAAAATACATCTTCTGTAGTTAAATCCTTGTGACTGTGAATCTGTCTCTTTCATCAAAGTCTCGCTATGATAAAAAAAAGTGTAATATTATGTTCTTCACATAAAGAAATGACACAGACGTGTGTTTAAAAAAACAAAACACCAGTGCATTAGTTGACATAGTAAAGCCAGTAGATGACGTTGAAGAGGGAGAAGCTGAAGGGGAATATTATCCGTGACATTCTGTCGATAGCGTTCACATCCGTCAGGTCTGGGATTTTGATTTTGAGCTGAGAGGTTCTTCTCTGCAGACGCGTTCTCCTCGAATGTACGTTCCTCTCCAGGCTGGAGCACGGTTCGCTCGGCTTCCTGTTCTGGACTCCAGAGTTGTCGAACACCATGGAGGAAGACTTGTGGGTCTCGCACACCCTGGTGGTGATCTCATTCCCTCCCACCTCGTTGTGGATCTCCAAGGTTGTCAGTAAAATGTTCCCCTGGGAGTCGACCTGAGCACAACAGACAGGAGCGCAGTTAAAAAATGAGGCTGCGGTGACTAATGACACATGTGCAGCGAGCGTCGAGCCGCCGCCGTCTCGCAGGCTGACGGATTACGGCCTCCAGAACCAGGTTTCCTGTCCCAAAGTTAAATCACTTCTAAGCTCAAGGTTGGCTGTAATACTAATGTCATGACAGCTACTGCTTCCCACACAAAAACACATTGAAAAACATCTATAAATCATTCAGACATGGTGGCAAAAATAGAAGCACAATATGTACACAGTCATCGAACAGCGTGGTTACGAGACATGAGAGGAAGTGACAAGGTGAATATTTATTTACTTACTCTCACTAGTCATTTTCTACGCTAAGGCCCATATCAGACCTCATGTTAATGTTGGACTGGGAGATAGTTTGAATAAAAAGATATATGATAGTTTATCGTCTGTCAATGGAATCTTATAGTCGTGATTCGGTTTCATTGATCAATTGATAAAAACAATTATTTGATAGTGAATTCACCAATGTATAGTTTACAGGCAAAAGTCAAACTCAGTAAATACTTTCATTCTTATTTGCTTGTGTGAAAAAGTCCACTTTATTTAGCTAAGATTTTATTCCTATGGCGCTGTGGATAAGATTAGATTGAAATAATTACAATTTTTAATTACAATTCTAACCCCTTTTATGATACAGCTAGCTGCGACTTTACTTAAATAATAATAATAATAAAACTGCAAATTATTTCATGTTTTAATCATGGCTGGACAAACAAAGGATTTGTCCCTTGTCAATTCAATTCAATTCAATTCAAAACCTTTATTGAATTGACAAGGGACAAACCCTTTGTTTGTCCAGCCATGATTAAAACATGAAATAAATTTGCAGTTTTATTATTATTATTTAAGTAAAGTCGCAGCTAGCTGTATCATGTCTTTAGACTTTTGTTATTATTTTTCTAAAGTAAGCATTTGGGTACTCCAAAAAGGGGCAGGACTTCCCTCGTTGTTTAATATGTCTCTGTTCAGTAGTTTGGTTGCATTTTTGTTCCACTTAAACACAATAAAACACTACAAATGTATTAGAGGGGATGATATTCCTATGATATGGTGATTCTGACAGAAATGGCAGGTTAAGATGTGATGAAATATGTTGTTTTTGTTAGATTAGGAGGTCACACATTTGACAGATGTGGACACCACAGGCAGTGACAGACACTCACCCTGCGTGAGGGGCGCCGCCCGTGAACCTGATTGGACTGTTTTACAGACGAAGACTTGCAATTGCCTCCTTCCAGAAGGGACTATCCAGGAGAAACACAAGAGATACCCCTCTGTCTGAGCTTTGGTTGTATTCAGGTGAGAATCATTACGTTAAGTACACGGGGAGGAGAAGGAAGTTGTTCCACTGTATCGACCAGAAATGTCCAGTGTTGACAATTCATTTCATGGCTAGATATTTTGGGTACAACACACATTTTTCTTGGATATGAAAGTGATTCTGAGAAACCTAAAGCTGTGAATTGTGCAACGAACCATCTAGCCAGGTGCAAAATTAGGTATTAATGTTTATATTAAGAATGTACCCCAAAGCAGATCAATTAATTTACCTAATTAACCAACAAATTATCATATAGTGACTTATTACGTTATACAAGTGAAACGAAAATTGCATTGCTGTCATACACAATGACTTATGATCACTTGGCTAACCCAACTCGGACATTTCTCAAGTTAAGTGCATAACATAGAGCATAACAAGTCAAGGGTTTCTTATTTATGATAGGTGAAAAGGTTGCTAACCACTCTTAAAAACAGTTTTTCTGTTCTTATCTTTGGGAAGTTAAGAGATTGTAACCTGACTTTCTGGTGTTTTAAAAATGATTCTTACCCTGGGTCTGTCTAAATTCTCCCGATCATTGTTGGCCTTCTGCGCCCTCTCCGCCAGCCTCTTCTGCATCTGAGGGCCTCTTCCAAAGAAGATGTAGTTCACGAAGGCATATTCCAGCAGAGCGAGGAAGACGAACACGAAGCAGCCCATCAGGTACATGGTCTATGGCTTTCACGTACGGGATCTTGGGAAGAGTCTCTCTCAGATGGGTGTTGATGGTAGTCATGGTCAGGACAGTGGTGATCCCTGGAGGAAAATTAGACAAAGAATCACCCAGTTGTAAATTAAAAGACCAAAATCAACCCGGAAATACAAAAAATTAGGTCGGTGAACAAATACAGATGATGTTTAACCATAATACGACTATCCAGATCTAAAAATTGTAGGAATAACCTGGTCAAATGTCTTTGAATTTTGGTTTTTGTTAAAGTTATATTTTATTCATTGTTCAAACGCTCATGCAATACACTCCAACACATTTTCTTTTAGCATCAATATATTTCCAATTCTGATTTGAACACACCAAAGCCAGAAGAACAACTGGATTCTAGCCATGAAATGAAACCTGCCCAGAAGTGATGAAAACAAAATACAGCGTGTGCTGGCTCTTATAGACATTTTTAAGAGAGAGCACTGAGGTACTATCAAAGTCTCAAGACAAAGCATTTCAATCAGCCGAGGTTCTCCATTAAACCCTGATCATAAAATCTAAGGATAAAGCCTCGAAAAAGGGTTCAGATGAAAGTTTGTTGAAGCCTCTCCTTGTCGAGTTTGATGACTTTATCTAGCAGGAAGTGAACAGACTCAGCAGATGCAGGATAAACAGCAGTGTAGCAGTTCTCTCGATAATGTGCACCATCAACAGTAAATGTGTCTGAGTTGTTTTTGTGTCTCCTGGATGGCTCACCGACCTGGACTATTTCTGTCCACTCAGACTTACGTAATTTAACGAAAAACCGTTGCTCTGTACAGTGAGGTACAGTGTGTGTGGGGGTGTTAAGAGCACTGCATTGATTTCTGCAGAACAAAGAGAAGAGCAAGAATCTAAACTCAGAGGAGACGGTTACTCAACCAAGACCTGAAGATTTTATATAATATAGAAATATAATACATATATATAGTTCACTGTTTTCTCTGACGTAACATCGGCTAAAGGTATGAACTGAGATGAGCTCTTGTAGATGATAACGGCCATTTGTTAAAACACTCCGATCATCATAGTCAATTTCCCTTTCCATTCCCAATCCATTAGAAAAACTGTTCGGTAAACTGTGCTCCAAATGTTGATTATCATTTAAAGTGTATGCTATAATTGGAATATGTTCACACCAGCACCTTGCTGTCAGACGGCCAATTCTGACGGAAACTGAAGCTGTTATCTACAATTTCGGAAATCCACCAGAATCCATTGAGAAGAACCGTAATTTTACCTTGCAGTTGCTGGTCTACAGTTGCCTCAATCGCTTGGTTACATTGTGTTATTGTGTGACTTTTGTGTTTTAAGGGGATTAGATAGTGCTCAACAAAGTCAACCAATAGTGTAGTTAGGGTAAGGGTAAGACTGTAACTGCACTTAAAACAATCTGAACCATCCCTCTAAAGACCAATTTAAAAGTAATTTCCTACTGCTTATACATGTTTTTATTGTAAGTTGCTATGGATAAAAGCATCAGCAAAAGGAAATGTAATAATGCTGTTAGAGGTTTTAATATGTGTACTGCAAGTGTTCCTGAGGGTACCGAAACTACCATAATGGCAGAGAGAATGGAAACCTGTGATTGAATTTGGATAATGACTGTAAATGCTCTCTTACGGCATAGACCTGAAACCTGAACGCGTCCGACCTTAAGGAGATTTAAATCGTAAAACCTTCCTCAAAATGCATCACATTCATCTTTACGTCACATAATCTACACAGCTGCTGAATGCTGCAATAACAGGCTCTTTCTTACAAACACATGATAAATGAGGATTCCTATTAAGGCGGAGGTGAATGCATTAGAGATGGCGGGGTGTTTTCCAGAGGTGAAATGAGCCTCCTCTTTGTTTCAGTCCTCAGGCCAAAGGGAAAGTCTTAGATCTCCTAATACATCACATGAACGTAACACACCATAAAAGTTTCATATTTAAAACTAAAGTGTAAAAAGAGGTCAAAAATGCATAAAAAGCATCTTGTTTTTTTTGAATGGCCATTAAACTAATACTAGGGCTGAAATAATACTTGGGTTGTGGTGCTGAAACATAAATGCAGGGACACTCAAGCAAGGTGGCTAATCTGGCTATTTTGAAGCATAGCCATTACCCGCCCTGCTGCCAGTGATTGGGTAGAACCGTTATGAAGTGATCTAGCAGCAATCAAAACATGAATAACTTACAATAGAGAGGTGCAGGAATGAGTCCTTAACCCTAACATGAATCAGCTTTTTACCACTTCTTGTTCACTGGTCTTGAAGTCAATCTTTTTGTGTGTGTTTTGCTTAGAAGTCTGAAATAATGTCTCTACTCACCATGCTGTAGTTCCTTTATAACGTTAGCTTTTTTTTTGTCATGAGCAACGTTTTTCACTTAAAAAACACCATTTGATCCTTTGTCAATATAAAATAGATATTGGTGTGGCTTCAACTCTAAAACAATGTCCTTCCCTAAGGCCTTAAATGCATGGTGAACCTTTAGAATACATAATCAAGTTAAACTCTTCATTCGGCTACACACCTCTGAGACTCCTCCCTCACACTGGTAAGGAAAGAGTTACTTTCTGTCGGTTTTATAATCATAAATAAAACAGACTTTTAAAGGTCAGATCCTCTACACCCCACATATCACCCCCTCAGCTCCCAGAGCGGTAAATCACATGAACTTGACATGATCTTCCACAAATATTCAATCAACTGCACACCATCTCTAAGGGGACACGATGCCATCAATCATATACATCTTACATAACTAGAGTGTGAAATGCGCAGTGTACAGCGATTGTTAATTGCTTGCAAATGTTTAGAAAACTGTGGACATGTGAGTGACGGTGAAGCCATAGAGGGGAGGTCAAACATCGTACCTAATGCAACTCTGGCAGCCGAGGCATCGTAATTTATCCAGAAGGACACCCAGGACAGGATGGTGATGAGGATGGAGGGCATGTAGGTCTGCAGGATGAAGTAACCGATGTTTCTCTTCAGCTTGAAGCTCAGAGACAGTCGAGGGTAGGCACCTGCAGGTAAAGATGGAGAAGAAGAAGAAGAAGAACAATGGAATCTCTCGTTAATTCAAGAACTGGTTTCATCACTTTGAAAACAAGACAAGTTCAACTTGCAAATTAACTGATGAAATGTTGCCTTGAGATTATCTGTGTGCATGAAACATTGCCACACACACACACACACACACACACACACACACACACACACACACACACACACACACACACACACACACACATACCATGTATACATCACTTCAGGGGACCTCCAATTTGTCCCCATAAGGGAGGCGAGTCCCCACACGTGACTGTGTAAACAGATTTAGGTCCCCACAAGTATAGTAATGCTAGGCCACACACACACACACACACACACACACACACACACACACACACACACACACACACACACACACACACACACACACACACACACACACACACAGTTTGACTCAAAATTCACATACTTATATTTCTTGTTGATATATTTGACACCAATGTCACCCCTGTTTGTTAAATAGAAGGCTAATATTGAAGCTTCATTTAAGCTAATCGGCTGTGGAAAACTGTGCTATATGTTTTCATTGTACAGACATGGGAGTTAGTTAGTTAGTTAGTTATAAACGTTATCTTTATCTTTGGCTTCAACCCAATTAACATTAATTACTAATATGTCAATAATGCAATAGTCTAAATACTTAGAAATAGGTAAAGTGAGGGTGGTATTAACCTTCTCGTCTTACTCTATGCAAGAGAGCAAATGTGAAAAAGGGTATTTCTGAACATTTTCATTGATAATTTTTGCCACCACTCTCACCCCTGTACGATAAATAAACAAGGATAATATTTAAGCTAATTAGCTGCTAGCTGCGGTAGCTGTGTGTACTGTGGTTTTAAAGTACAGACATGAGAGTTAGTTGACAATCTCAAACTATTCCTTGAATTTGACTAACTCAGATGATTCATTACTTAAAACGCTAAAGTTAAAAAACATTATGGGATTTGTATCATACCATGACCCCTTTGAACCCACTTCAAGCTAATGATAAAGGAATTACATTACATTACATTGCATTTAGCTGACGCTTTTATCCAAAGCGACTTACAATAAGTACATTCGACCAGGAAGACACAAACTTGAAGAAAACAGAATCATATAAGTACATCAGGTTTCATAGAGCCAAACATTTCAAGTGCTACTCAACTGGCTTTAGATAAGCCAGTCCTTTGTTAGTATATAAGTGCTTTGTTAATAAATCTATCGCTCGAAGTGGAGTCGAAAGAGATGAGTTTTCAGTTTGCACCGGAAGGTGTGTAAGCTATCTGCTGTCCTGATGTCAATGGGGAGCTCATTCCACCATCTTGGAGCCAGGATAGCAAACCCACGTGTTTTTGCTGATGGGAACTTGGGACCCCCTCGCAGCGAGGGTGCAGCGAGTCGTTTGGTTGATGCAGAGCGTAGTGCACGCGCTGGGGTGTACGGTTTAACCATGTCCTGGATGTACGAAGGGCCAGATCCATTCGCAGCATGGTAAGCAAGTACCAGTGTCTTGAAGTGGATTCTAGCAGTTACCGGAAGCCAGTGGAGGGAGCGGAGGAGCGGCGTGGTGTGGGAAAATTTAGGAAGGTTGAAGACCAGACGAGCCGCTGCATTCTGGATGAGCTGCAGAGGTAGGATGGCACATGCAGGTAGACCAGCCAGGAGGGAGTTGCAGTAGTCTAGGCGTGAGATGACGAGAGCCTGGACCAGAACCTGCGTCGCTTTCTGTGTCAGCTGGGGACGTATCTTCCTGTATCTGCAGCAACGGGTTGTAGCAGCGATGTTTGCAGTGAAGGAATGGGGCCTGTACTTAAAGGAGTGTAATGTATTCATGAGGCCGACAGCATAAATGATTCTCTTGTATTACAAACATTCCAGGACAGTGATTATTCCTCCAGGCATGGATAATGTTGGAACATTTCTGAGGAAATAATAGGGCTATTAGAGCTCGTTACAATCAGGGTCAAATCTTGATGCAAATAAACACTAAGGGCTGTCTGCAGACACTTTAACATTTAACAAGGAGCATTACAGGTGCTAAACACTATTTAATATTTATTTTATTATTTTACTATACTTACTTGTTTGCCTGTCCTTGTTTGTCTACCCTCCCTCATACTGTAAAGCGTCTTTGAGTTGTGAAAAGCGCTATATAAATAAAATGCATTATTATTATACACTGTATTTTAACCCAGGAGATGCTGTTTGTGTCCCATGTAAAACCAGAGTAAACTCCTCAATGAGTTCCTGTACTGATCTAACACCACTTCTGTATATATTTTTAAACGGGAAAGCCTATTGTGTACACAGAGTCTGCAGGAAAACAAATGACATCTTCTGATACTTAGGGGCTTCATGTAAAACCTTAAATATCATCCCTAACACATTTGTACCTATTGGGGAAATATGTTCCAAGGTCCATAACTTTGACCCAGTTTATCAGTTCATGCTGTCCTGACTGAGCACACGCACCTGTAACCTTGGCTGCTGTGCTCTCAGTGTTTTGTCTCCCTGTTCCTGCCTGTTGGCGTCAGCTGATAGAGGTGTTATGATTCTATCTTGTTATTCACAATGTTGATTATTCTCTCTGAACTAGCTAAACACACGGGTCTGAGGGAGAGTTCTTCAGAATTGACGTGGCAACTCTACCGTGAAGTCAGAACCTCTGACTCTTTAACTTGTCAGTGTTTGACATCAGAGCTCCAGCTCTCCATCGTGTGTCCTTTGAGTCTGTGACTCCTCCTGCATTACTACACAAAAGTGTCCTCCACAGTACCCACGTCCCTTCACCCTTTCACCCGATAAACCTTCCCTCCCTTCATCGTTCTCTCCCTAAACCACTTCATCCATTTCTCCGTACATTTCAGTTGATCCCTTCCTCTCGGTATCCCTTCATCCCTTCTTCCTTCCCCCTTTTCCTACATTCCTTCTTCCATTCATCCCTCCTTCTCTACATCCAATATGTTCTCCAATCATCTCTCTACACCTCCATTCCTACTTTCTTTCATCCCTACCTCCCTCCTTACATAGGCTACCTTTGACTAGGGCTGCTCGATTGTGGCAAAAATCATAATCTCGATTATTTGGGTCAATAATTGTAATTGCGATTATTAAATGCGATTATTCATTGACTTTGAAAACATCCATTTATTGGAGATGAAAAAATGTGAACAGTATGTTTTTAACAGTTGATTACCCTGAACTTTAAGTATAATTCAACTGAAAAACCAAAAAAGAAAAAAAAAAATCGTTTTATTTCGATTACGTTGTTTTCGTAATCGTTGCAAGCCATAATCGTAATCGCGATTAAGATACGATTAATTGAGCAGCCCTACCTTTGACCTCTCATTCCTCCCTCACTACGTTGTATCAACTACTCATCCTGCACTTCATCCCGTCATCCCCTATCCCGCCATCCCTTCATTCCTTCAATTCCTTTTCAGCGGATTGTAGAGCTGACCTGTGGAGAAGACGACGTTCCTGGACACCAGCTTGTAGTCGACGATGGAGAACTGAGGGAGCTCGATTCGAGTCACTCCGGTCACTGCGATGTCTCCTCCTTTCCAGTAAAACTCGATATCATCTGTAGTGTAACCATCTGCAAACCAGCATACAAGAAAGGTGTGCATATCGTGAGTAGGAAAGCAAAGAAAAAATGCAGCCATGTCCTTTTTTTTTGGATGGCTTGAATTAATAATGTAGTTATATTTGCTTTAGGGAAATCTGTCGGCCTAATAGCTCCAGTAGATCAACAGTGCTAATCATATTCGGCTGTATGTGTTGATGGCATGAGATGTAAATCTTCATGGGGGTGTGTGTGAATGCAGACACACACACTTGCACTGATGCATGGGATTTATAACCGCCAATATTCAGAGGTGGAAGAAGTACTTAGATCCTTTACTTAATTAAAAGTAGAAGTAATGTGGTCTTAGAAAATCAATAGAAGTCTTAAATTGAAAATGTTGTGCTATGAGTAATGGAGTAAAAGTGGCATTACATGGAACTACTTAAATAAAGTACAAGCATGTGAAAAAGTACAGACAAAGTAGCTGTGAATGGAGAGGCTGCAGAAAGTAATCTCCAGAGATACGACAGTTTAATAAATCCAAGGCGATTCAGCCACCGGTGCACTTTCTGTCTCTGGGAGATGAGGAGTGTGAGAACTCCTTTTTCTTTATGGGAATCACTGCGCTCTTCATATTTCTAAAGCGATGAAAAGGTAAAACTGTCTGCTATATTTCACTGAGAACAAGATGTGAGGCCTTAAAACTTACAACTCTCAATTTCCAGAGTGCAGTTCTGCTCGTCCAGCGGGGTATCGCCTCAGATCCATCATGCAGGCGGCCGTCGTCGTGATTCTGAGGTATAAGAGACAAGGAAGTCAGATTCGAAGTTCAAATGCTTTATTTTCATATGCACAAGGGAGTGGTGCAGTTATCATGTATTTCTGCAATGGACCCTGAAGGCAGCATCTACCTGGTTCTACCTAGGTACAGTTGAAAAGTGCTAGACTCCTCAAATAATGCAACATACAATACAGAAAATAAGAAATTAAAACGGGCAATAAAGTACTGGCATAATTGGTGCAAGTAAGTTGCAGGAAAAAGAAAATATATACATATAAACTAGAATAAGATATAACTAAATGTAAATGAGTTGCTCTACAGTAGAAATACAAAATGTATACTATGAGGTTTATATAAACTTGGTTTTTCCTTGTTTTGTCATTTTCAAAACATACTGTAATGGAGGAGGAAGCAATAGTCAATTTAAAGAGAAGTCCCCCATTATAGTTTCTGTAGAAAATCATGCATCTCATTTCAAAAGAACAAGTCAATACAAAGAGACGCAAACATCCCAGCAACACAGAAACATTCATTATGATGTGTGAAGCTCAGACTCTGTAATTACTGCTAATGGTGCTTAAACATTTAGCCACTTTATGCATCTCGGGCAGATTGGATAGCAGTGTGATGAGTCTGAAAGTTGGGGAGTTAATGGGACAAAAAAGCATTAGCGAGATTTTCAAAATGTGTAAATAAATGAGTAAATAAATCTGTTTCTCAAAGATGCAATTGTCGTTGGATCAGACTGGAGGGTGCAAAGGAGATCTGGCTAAAAACATACAGTAGTTAGTGTTTATAAAGTGTATATTAAATATATTCAACATCTTATAAGACACATGAATGTGCCTTCAAGTGGTGGCTCCATATTGTCTTGCCTATAATGCATCTTGCAATAATTATAATTTCCTTTTTATTTCGCTATTATTATTATTGTTATTATTTCTCATATAATAAGCAAATTATAACCAGGACCATGGCTACATATAAAAGACAAATATGCAAATGAGGCATTATGTTATGTTACATTTTGGTGATTTTATGAGAAATCTGCAGACAAAACTGCACAAAGTTATTAAAACAAACTCATAATTGTTGACTTTAGATGTGTTCTTTCCACTAGTCTGAAAGGAGAATGGAGCAAAATAGCCGAAATCAAAGATTGATCAGTTTACGAAAATGTTTTTGGCTATATTGTCAAACCTAAACATATTTAAATCTATCGAGATGAGATTTTGAGTTCGCATTACATGGTTGCACTGCGGAAATAAGGGTCCTGCAAACTATGTTATCATGTAGATTAAAATCTTTCCTCACCGGAGGCCGTACAGTACGGTGCCGTCCGGGTGCAGCCGGATCATCCGGTTCTTGACGGTGACTCCGTGGACGAAGGACTTCTTGTCGTTGAGGAAGTAGGTGTCGGGGACCCACAGCTGGTCGGCCACTCGGTTGTCCAGCGTCAGGTTCAGAGGGATGCCCAGGTACGCCAGCCTCTTATCCCTCCAGTACTGCTGGAAGTACATCGTCAGCGTGTAGTCCTGAGGACACACACACACACACACACACACACACACACACACACACACACACACACACACACACACCACACACACACACACACACACACACACACACACACACACACACACACACACACACACACACACACACACACACACACACACACACACACACACACACAGAAGAATGTACTTATACTTAACCATAAATAAAAGTCAGATTGAATGCAATTGTACTGACAATCTTTGGGTATATGACAGCTGATCAAACACTATTCCTGTTTCAAAATTGTGCTACGCTCAGGATCTTCTGCCATGCACTGTGCACTTATAATATTAGATGAAATGTACTCTGTTTATCTAAAATTGGGAAATCATTTTGTGAAAGCAGCAACAGATAAACAAGGCACTGAGCTAAACAAATAATAATGTATCACTCAACAGTGGAAAGATACATCTCCATAGAATATCTAAAAAAGCTGGAGTGGCACATTATGGAACGAAAGCATATTAAGTGTGTATACGAATGAATTGTCTTCAGGCCAACAATGTAGACCACACTGAAGCCGGACTCTTTCTAAAATGTGTAAAATACTGGATGTCTGCAGCCCGGAGCCCAGGATGGATTTTTGGTTAAAAAAAAAGGTGATATTTATAGATGATCATATTTTATAGATGGTCAAACAGCTGTGATGCTCATCAGTGTGCCCGAGGTCACCGTATCTCACACCTGTCTCATAACAACCTCTCAGCTGTTCTCTGCACAGCTCTGAACCCTGCAGGACACTTCACAATAAACACTTTACTACAATATAGATTTACATTCTGCTGCCACAGCATCTGCACCGTGCTTCATCTAGTGACCACACAACTACACTGCACATATCAGAGAGATAGATATCTTTTTACCATTGATATGTTAAGATTGTCTTCATGCTTTAATGTTAAAAAAGCTCTTTATTTTTCTCATACTGCCTGTGCTGCAGCACCTCTTTCACCCTCTGTCTGAAACCAGAGCCCAGTCTGCTCTAATTGGTTAGCTGGCCGGCTCTGTTGTGATTGGTCAACCGCTTAGAGATGTCCCGCCCCTAAGCCTAACACGTACAATGTGTTGGAGTGTTAGCCAATAGAAGCCTGAGTGCAGGGGCGGACTGGCCATCGGGACGTTCGGGACGAATCCCGATGGGCCGGTACTGAACGTGGGCCGGTCGGACGATGTTTTCTGTGCAGTCCAGATAGGTCACTAGCACACCCCCCCCCATTGACAATTTACTAGCGGTATTTACTTTGCGGTACCGAGGTGGGCCGGCGGCAACCGAAGTGGGCCGGTCTAGAGTTCCGGGCTGATTTTTAGTCCCAGTCCGCCCTGCCTGAGTGTTAATAGTGATGTCACTATGTTCTGGTAGTAAACAAAGGAGGGTGTTTCATTGCAAGGGGGGGAGTGGGATAGAAACTCTCTGGGGGGGAACACAGGGATTTTAGCCTTTGCAGACCATTTACATGCGACAAAAAACCGATAGATCACACTACAGGAAAGGAGACCCCCAAAATAGCATAATAGGGCCTCTTTAACAACTTTCTTGGAAACGATCATTTCAATTGAAGTGTGGGATACCAAAAGTTTAATACCCGAAATTGATAGAAAGATGGATAAATCGATAGATTAAAAGATACATTTTAATTACACATACCGGCCATACATGCAACGTCATTCAGCTATTTTGAATAATTCATTGTGCACGGAGATCCACAGGTGTCAAACAGAAAAGCTTTTAATGGAGCTCTTTTCCAGCATGGCTTTGTTCTGCTGACTAATGTTCTCTTAATAAATAAACAGGTCTCAGGAAATAAACAAAAACTTGGCAGTGCAGAAAACGCCGACATTTCAATCCTGTGCTGCAGTCGCATATTCAAAACAAAGAGTATTAATAAAAAAAACGCTTAGATTTGCTTCGGATGTTACGATCAATACAAGGTTTGGTTTCTCACACAAAACGAATAATTAGTCAGAAACTGCTGACTTCATTTGGACAAAATAAAGAATTGCATTATTTTTCTTGACTACTCTGAACAAATTTGGATCAACGAAGCGAATGCATCATGACAAACTGTATTTGTGTTTGGGATAAATTACACAATGTGCTTTGACTGACAGTATAATATAACATAATATTGATCCCTATGAATAATTCAGTGTGTGTGTACAGTCAGTATTATTCTCCGACGTTCAAAAGTCGCTTATAGAGTATTGTGACAGATATTAATGAGACTAAATCTGAATGTGGAGTCAGAGCTTGTTCTGTAATAATCAACTATGGTGGAAAGTAACAAAATATATTAAATTACAGTATTTTAATAGTGTGCTATAAGTCTACAATTCCACTGAAAGTCATTAATGATAATATTGAATTGTGTCCCAGCACGATTGAAAATGAACCTTCAGAGCAGACGGTCTAGACTTGAAACTTTGAGTGTTATATTCCATCAAATGGTGATTACATTATAAAGAAACATATCTGATATCCAAAAGCTTTTCAAAATCCACCGTCTTTACTCTGATTTGAGGTGTTGCTGTTAGGTGTCGGATATGTAAACCCCAGCAGACAGAAGGAGGTTTGTTTCAGCACCGCAGAGTAAATGAGTCCCAGTGGGAGGACGAGGCTGTCGTGTCCTCTTCGGCTCGGAGAGTTCACGCTCTCGCGCTCAGACACGGTTACTGTGTGCCAGTCAAACATCGTCTATTTCAACCTGACACCCTGACGTCTGCCGGGAGAACAGGAACAGACTGTGTCAGAGAGACACCGTGCACGAGGAGGGTTTCCATCTCTGCATGAGTCAAATAAAATATCCCAGGAGAATTAAAAAGTGATCTGTTCTACAATTCGTGTTCCTGCTTCCTCCCACACAACCTTGTGAAGCCTTTCATTAAATGATTTTCAGTCATTCCACTAGATATTAACGGGGGAATTACAAAAGCTTTCAGAGACCATCCCATGATAAAATGTAAAAGTATTTTTTTTAGAAAATGTTCAATAGCAATACTCATTATTTTAAAATGTTTATCTCAAATTCGCCCCGCATTGCTAATATACAACATAAAATGCTCCTACTTGTATTTGTAGTACGGAAACATTTGAAATCATCTGAAGACATTTTCTAGATCTGACCAAAAGCAGAAACACATTTTTTTTAATTTCAAAATTCCCAATTTTTTTTTTTTTCTATCTGTGACTTTCAGAAAAAAGATATTCTAAATCAGTTTTTTTCTAACTTTTTTCTCAACAGAAAACAATCAGAATACCGAATTTAAAGTCAGAGTATATTAATATTTAACATTTTCGAAAAACATATTGAAATCCCAAACTCAACGTGGAGAAAAGTTACTGAAACTTACATTTTGTTTTAAATCAGTTGCTCTCCCTCGGCCTGCTTGTGAACAGGTGGATCTTAAGGCTGTTTGATCGGTCTGACTCATTAACTAACCTCCTTCAATAAAACTACATCTGGAGGCTTTGGCTCAGTGGGTAGTGTGCTGGACTTCGAATCAGGGGACAGCAAGTTCGAGTCCCACTACAGTCAGCTTGTCGTTGTGTCCCTGAGCAAGACATTTCACCCCAAATTGCTCCTGTGGGGATTGCCCACAGAACTGTATGTAAGTCGCTTTGGATAAAAGCGTCTAACAAGTGACATGTAGTGTAATGTAATCTGTAGTCTGCGGTTCTTAAGGGTAACACTTCCTCCAGGCAGCAGGTGGGTAATGTTAAAGTGTCCCAGTGGACGGGGGTGTTAAACACATGATGGATTCCTGCTGACTCTCACTGTGGATACTGACTAATGTCTAACATCACCTCAGGGAGGATGAGCATTACAGCTTCAGGAGGTTTTTTTTACCAGGTGTGTCTCTGCGAAGTGTAGAAACTCTAGTGGGGTGATAAAGTCCCAAATAAATACACAGAAACTGCATTTGTTCCTACAGCTAGAGGTGGGCAAAGTACGTAAAAAGTATAGGTGTAAGTTAAGCTTGAGGAAATGTCCCAACCACTTTGTAAAATGGCCAATTTTGTCAAGTCCACTTCCTTTTTAAGCATTATTTGGTAAAGACCTTCTGAAAAATAAATGAAATCAATCAGAAAGGTTTTAATTGCACTATGAACAATCTCAATGTCACTGTTTAATTAGTTTTACTGGTAACTAGTAATTGTAACCAAATACATTGTAAGTAACCCTAGTAAGTAGTAACCCTCCCAACCCTGTGTGTAACATGGATATCAGGATAAGTTAGAGGTTTCAAAATATCAACAGAATAGAAAAGGACACTAGGCGATTTTCATTTCCAAGCTATAAATACAGGAGTGCAGCAAGTCAAGTGAGAATTGTATTAATACTCTCATTTCCTAGACAACAGCTCTGCAGCCGCCTACACGGTTTATAACGGGCAGCACTGTGCTTGTGTGACCGGCTGTTTGAAAGCTCACCGCCAACACCTTTACTCCCTTCTCTCTGAGTCTGTTCAAGGAGAAAGTCTGAGGCTGGAAAGAAAAAATACTTCGTTCCCCCTTCTTACCAACGTCAGAAACTGCGGTGACAGCAACGTAACTTAAAATGCAGCAGCACTGATCGAGGTTTTTGTAACTGTCCAAATATGTTCACATTTTCTTCTCCATTAAGTCTTTAAACACTTTCAGAGCCCATACTGTGTTCCTGTTAGTGTTTACTTCCTGTCGGTCTTCTTCTGCTGTTCCCATGAGTATTTACTTCCTGTTTGTCTTCTTCTGCTGTTCCCATGAGTGTTTACTTCCTGTCGGTCTTCTTCTGCTGTTCCCATGGCTGCAGTCGAATAATCCATTTAGTTTAGGAACCTTCCTAACGGAGTGAAATTACCCGGAAGTCCCTCAGTGGCAGCCATGATAAGTGCCGTTCGAATTCTCTAGAATGATAGGAAAGGAGGTTTCAAACTTCCTTTATAACCTCCTTTAGCTTAGGAACCACTGGACCTCCCTAACCGAAAGGAGAGGAGA